TTGGTCCACAACACTATAGAACACAACGTAATGTATTGCGGCATGACACGTCTCATTTCAGCACGGCACATGGTACATGCCGGATCGATATTTTCAGCATCGGAGTTGCTTGTTGCCCAGTCCGGCGTTTTGGAAATGCAGCCATGCCACCACATTTCTGCATTCCTTTCCGAGTTCGCGGGTCGATCGATCGTGTTGTTCCACTATCGGGGGTGGACAGAACCCCCAACAGTGACACGTCGATTGGTGAATTGTCCGTAATCGGTTCTCGAGAGGGCGCTGTGGCAGTTTTTTTTCCAGGCTTGCGCCCGCCAGGTTTGGGCCTCGGGTCGTTTTCACTGAACCACGTTTTGCTAAAGGGGGGCCTGTCCATCCCCGACGCTAGTCGTCCTCTATTGACCTCTTCCTCCCCATCTCCTCCCCCTGAGGGCTGGGTAGTCGAAGGCCAGACTGTCAGACTGGATTGGGCCCCAAGGGCCAATCTGGCCTGGCCATATTGGCGGATTTGGGTTATTCGCCAGACTGGATTCGCGTTGGCTCCCTCGCCAGATTGCCCCCGTTTGCCAGATTGGGCCTGCCAGATTGGCGCCAGATTGGCTTCGACTACCCAGCCCTGGCCTCCTTCAGCTGGGGTGCCCACGCGCAGGCCCTCGAGCACTGGACTGGCCGTCAGATTGACATGTTCCAGGCGGCAGGCCTGCGAGGGTGGATCGGGACAGCGACGACGACGAGGACGACGGCGACGACGGCGACGACGACGACGAGGACGGCGACGACGACGACGAGGACGAGGACGAGGACGAGGATGCCGGCGGCAGCGCTGGTGCCGGCGGTGGGCGGGCGACGGCTGGCGGCGGCGGGGGGGGAAGATGTGGACGAGCTGGAGGCGGAGGACGGGGGATGGGGGAAGGAGGAGGAGGAGGAGGAGGAGGAGGAGGAGGAGGAGGAGGAGGAGGAGGAGGAGGAGAGAAATAATAATAATGATACTACTATTATTATTATCATTATTATTATTATTATTATTATTATTATTATTAATAATAGTATTATTGTTATTATTATTATCATCATCATCATTATCATCATTATTATCATTCCTATTATTATTGGTAAGAAGCATACACATACGAATCATATTAAGATGGGGACGAGCTGGAGGGGGAGGAGAACCCAGACCCTCTCGAGTCATCAGATGATCACGACGGGAGTGTCAGAGCCCCGAGTCATCAGGGGTAACTCGGGTCAGGGCTAACTCGGGTTCGTTTTCCGGGAATCCGAACCCGAGTTGCCCCGGGCCCGAGTCACCCTGGATGATTCGGGCGCCCAGAGCCCCGAGTCATCGGGGGTAACTCGGGTCAGGGCTAACTCGGGTTCGTTTTCCGGGAATCCGAGCCCGAGTTGCCCCGGGCCCGAGTTACCCCGGATGATTCGGGCGCCCAGAGCCCCGAGTCATCAGGGGTATTTCGGGTCAGGGCTAATTCGGGTTCGTGTTTCGGGAATCCGAACCCGAGTTGCCCCGGACCCGAGTTACCACGGATAACTCGGGCGCCCAAGATGGTGGAGGAGAACCCAGACCCTCTCGAATCATCAGAAGATCACGACGGGAGTTGTTTCGTTACTCTAGGCGCCCAAGAGTTGTTTCGTTACCCAGGATAATTCGGGCGCCGAACCCGAGTTACCCCGGATGATTCGGGCGCCCAAGATGTGGACGAGCTGGAGGCGGAGGACGGGGGATGGAGGATGGATGGTGGAGGAGAACCCAGGCCCTCTCGAGTCATCAGAAGATCACGACGGGAGTTGTTTCGTTACTCTAGGCTTCTGGGGGCCCATGCTGGGCCTCGCGGCCGTCAAGCAGCGGCTCGGGAGGCAAAGCCGGCCCCCGGGGAGGGGTCGAGAGGCCTTTGGGGGGTCGACGTTCTGCAGAGGTCATGGTGTCGGGGGTCCCGGAGGGGAGGATGAAGGCAGCGTGAAGTCGGGCGAGGGGGTGTGCGGTGCCGGAATAAATGGGTCGGGGCGGAGGGGTGTGCCGTGCCGAAATGTAGAGGTCGAGGCGGAGGGGCGCGCTGGCTGGCGGGCGGGGGGGGGAATGCGAAGGGGGCTGTGCCGTGCCAAAGAAAAGGCGTCGTGCCGAAATACAGGGGTCGGGGCGGAGGGCGCGCTGGCTGGTAGGTGGGGGAGATGCGGAGGGGGTGTGCCGTGCCGAAATGAAAGGGTCGGGGCGGAGGGGTGTGCCGCGCCGAAATAAAAGGGGTCGGGGCGGAGAGGGCGCGCGGGGGGAAATACAAGGGTCGGGGCGGAGGGGGCGCGCTGGCTGGTGGGTGGTGGGATACGGGGGGGGTGTGCCGTGCCGAAATAAAGGGGTCGGGGCGGAGGGCGCGCTGGCTGGTAGGGGGATGCGGAGGGGGCGTGCCGTGCCGAAATAAAAGGGGTCGGAGCGGAGGGGTGTGCCGTGCCGAAAGACACAGGGTCAGGGCGGAGAGGCGAGACTGGCTGGTGGAATGTGTGGGTGATGGAGGGGGTGCCGTGCCGAAATGAAGTGGTCGGAGCTCTAGACCTTGTGCAAGAGAATAAATTATGTAATGAATCATATCCCCTGAGAGTTGGGTATCCCAGGCCAATGCAGATTTGGTCGGGGAAGAGCGGCGGCAAGGCCGAATTTGAGAATCTCGGGTGAAAGTTGTGAATCGAAGTTGCTCCCTTCTTATATAGAGTAGAAAGGGTTCCTACTTATTCCGATTGACGTCCGAAGGAATCCGATGGATGTCCCAAGAATTCCAATGGATTTCCCGACGAATCCCATGGATTTCCTAAGGAACCCGATGGATGTTGTAAGGAACGCTTAGGTTTCCAAAGGAAGTTTATGGATGCCCCAAGGAATCGTCTCATCCTCCATCTTGTGCTCCCGCCCCGAACTTTTTTATCATGTGTGTGTGTGTGTGTCTGTGAGTGCGTGTGTGTGAGTGCGTGTGTGTGGTGTGTGTGTGTTTGATCACCGTAATTGAGCCGCCATGGGCTCCTACACGTGTGCCATCGAAAATGATTAAACACATAATTCGTTTTAGAACTACAAACTGGACGTCCCGAACCGAAGTTGGTTTGGAAAACTGGTCCTGGGATGTCTTCTCCACCTCCTCCTGTTCCTCCTCCTCCTCCTCTTCCTCCTCTACTACTACTACAACAACTACTACTACTACTACTACTACTACTACTACTACTACTACTACTACTACTACTACTACTACTACTACTACTACTACTACTACTACTACTACTACTACTACTACTACTACTACTACTACTACTACTACTACTACACTACTACTACTACTACTACTACTACGACTACTACTACCTTACTACTACGACTACTACTACTACTACTACGACTACTACTACGATACTACTACTACTACTACTACTACTACTACTACTACTACTACTACTACTACTACTACTACTACTACTACTACTACTACTACTACTACTACTACTACTACTACTACTACTACTACTACTACTACTACTACTACTACTACTACTTCTACTACTACTACTACTACTACTACTACTACTACTACTACTACTACTACTACTACTACTTACTACTACTACTACGACTACGACTACTACTACTACTACTACTACTACTACTACTACTACTATACGACTACTACTACTACTACTACTACTACTACTACTACTACTACTACTACTACTACTACTACTACTACTACTACTATACTACTACTACTACTACTACTACTATTACTACTACTACTACTACTACTACTACTACTACTACTACTACTACTACTACTACTACTACTACTGCTACTACAATGGATGTCCTAGGGATGCCTGCGTATGTACTACGAAAACTGATTGATACCTTAGGGCATAATTCAGATGGCCTAGGCATTGCAAGGATGTGTTAGGGAATCCGATCGATGCCCTGAGGCTTCCTGAGGAATTTAGAAAGAACCCGATGGATGTCCGAAGGAACCGAATGATTTTAGCAAGGATCCTATGGGTTCTTATGAACGTTCAGGATACTCTTGATCTTCATACGTTTATTCTCCCTCCTGGACCCCGAACTTTATTTTCCCCTGGGGATCAGGATCACGGGCAGGCGGTTACTGTTTCAAACCAGTGTCGAAGAAATGTGCGGCTCGAGTTTGCCGACATTATGGTGTTCCGTCGTTGTTTCGATCGTCCTGGCGTGAATTTTGATTGTCCAGTCATTTTGACATGTATGCAGCGAGAATCCGCGTCTAATTTACGATGTTTGCATGTACTTCTCCTGATTCCCCCCAGGGAAATTCCAGCCCCCCCCCAAAACACATAATTCTTCGTCTGTCCAGCAGTATCGACCTCACGCTGGCACCCAATCATTGCTGTACGCCCCCATGGTAGGCACGAGCTCTCGGGAACGAAGACGAGGACGAGGAGGAGGAGGATGAGAACGAGAGCGAGGAGGAAGAAACTAAGAGAGAGGAGAGGGTAAAGGAGGAAGAGGAAGAGGAGGAGGAGGCGGAGGAGGAGGAGGAGGAGAGGGCACGGGGAGGAGGAGGAAGAGGAGGAAGAGGAGGAAGAGGGACGAAGAGGTGGAGGAGGAGGTTGTGGATGAGGGGGAAGAGGGAGCAGGAGGAGGGCGAGAACGAGGAGGAAGAGGGACGAAGAGGTGGGGGAGGGGCACGGAGAGGTAGAGGAGGGACGTGGACGTGAAGGTGGAGGAGGAGTGCAGCCCCCTCCTCCCACCCCCCATACCCTCCCCCGTTCCCCCAGCGTTCGGCTGTGTGGCGGGCGGCGAACCGGCCGACGTCTGGCGAAGTCTTTTTTCATCCTTCCTGTGGTAGTGATGATTGTGGCGACGGTTACCACAGCCGAACTGACTAATTCGTCCGCTTCGCTCGTGAAACTTGATCACGCCCCCTCCCCTCTGGCCCTGGGGCGTGACTACATCTCACTGGCGATCCGCGCTAGGCCCAGCAGCCAGGGCAATGAGGCTAGCATGAGAAGGATGAGGAAGAGGAAGAGGAAGAGGTGGAGGAGGAGGAGGAGGAGGAGGCGGAGGCGGAGGCAGAGGCGGATGAGGAGGGAGGAGGGACGAAGAGGAGGAGGAGGAGGAGGAGGAGGGGACGAAGAGGAGGAGGAGGAGGAGAGGAGGAGGAGGAGAAGAGGAGAAGAGGAGAAGGAGGAGGAGGACGAGGACGAGGGGAGGAGGAGAGGAGGAGGAGGGATGGGGAGGGTCGAGTAGGTCGAGGAGGGAGGGGCAGGTGGAGGAGGAGGGACGAGGAAGCGGAGGATGCGGGAGCGCTGCGCTGGAGGAGGGCAGGCCTCACCCTGCACCAGCTGCGCCTCAAGAACCCCGGGCAGGGCAAGGACTGGACGGCCGCGGCCATCTGGGCGCACGTGAAGACCATGGACAAGGTGCGGTCGACCCTCCTCCTCCTCCTCCTCCTCCTCCTCCTCCTCCTCCTCCTCGCCTCCTTCGCCTCCTTCGCCTCCTCCTCCTCCTCCTCCTCCTCCTCCTCCTCCTCCTCCTCCCTCTCTCCTTCCCCACCCTCCCCCCTTCCCCCCTCGCATGGCCTCGGGATCGGCAGCGCGGAAGACGCCCTCGTGGCGGGCCGCACCCGCAGGGCGCAGCCAGGGCTCGCTGGCCTGCCCCCGCCCCACCCCACCCCCGAGAGGGTAGAAGCCTCACTCGAGTAGGGGATCAACTACAGAGTTTATTCATTCCAGATCTGGTTTGGTTCGTCGGACGTTTTTTGTTCTTGGGGGCAAGTCAATTCTATAGTCGAGCTCCTGCTCGAAACAGACGGGAGGCCACCGCAGGCCGGGTCTCTGCCGGATCGACGGGCTTTGGGAGCTTCGAGACTTTGGACGCCCGAAATGGGTACGGAGAGAATGTGTACGATGCCCAGCAGCAGTTCGTGTTCATTTTGGACAGGATTCGCTGTCCACACCGCCGCGGCCTGTGTCCATTCGAGACAGAAGGCCGCCTGCCCAACAGCGGCCGCTGATGGTTTGGGACAACATTTGTTGTTGGGCATTGTACTCATTTTTTCCGTACCCATTTCGGGTGTCCAAAGAGACGGGGGTCAGTGCAAACGGGGGTCAGCCAGAGCACCGGATCTTGCAGGATCCCGCAGGGCCAGGGTCGCATTGACCCGGGCTTGGGTGCAGGATCCTGCAGGATCTTGGAGGACCCTTCGCATTGACCCGGGTCTGGGTGCAGGATCTTGCAGGATTTCGCAGGATTCTGCAAGGCCTGACTGGCCCGGGTCTGGATTGACCCGGGTCAGAAGATCCCCGAGGGCTCACCCAGCGGGGGGTCAGCGCCGACGGGGATCAGTCCATGCCTTCTCTGGCCGGCCCAGCTGCGGGAGCCACGCGGGGCCGATGCCCCCTCTCGAGCGCTCCGCGGGCCCAGGGGTTGAGAGCCGCTGCAGCCGGCCGGCCGGGCTTTGCACGTCTCCGAGATCCACGGCCAAAGACTCAAGCAGTGGCGAAGCGTCCTGGCTCGCCTATAGCCCCACCAAGGAATGTTCTAAGAACCTTTTGTGGTTCCCAAGAAATGTTCTTTGGAACATTTCTGGCGGAGTCTGTCTTGTTTGAACACATCGGGCTTCTGTTCTAAGAGCGCTGCTTTTGTTCTTAGAACATGTTGGGGCTCTGAGAACATTTCGTGGTAGGACTATAGCAATGCCGGGACGGTCGGCCCCTGCTCAGAAGACGGGTACGAAGACCGACTGCGGCTTCTGCCCATTCTGGACATGGTTCGGTGTCGGTGTCGCCGCGGGCACTCTTAAAACAGAGCTAGGATCGGGATAAATCGCTCCAGAGCGTTCCGGAGCGCTCTCAGAGCGTTCCGGAACGCTCTGGAGCGGCCGCGGCGCCCACTACGTCCTCCAAACCCGCCGATTCCCAGAGGTTTCGAGTTATCCCGATCCGATTTTGTCACGATCTTCGCGTCGTTTTAACTCTCCGGTCGCCTGCCCACCAGCGGCCCCTGCCGGTGTCGGACAACATCTGCTGTGGGCCGCCGTGCCCCCGCATGTCCGTGCCCACCGGGCGAGCCGTTCGGCCTCGAGCCTCGGGGGCTTGTGATCCAGAGTTTGGGGCGCCTTGGAGTCTCTCAGAGCCCCGAATCATCAGGGGTAACTCGGGTCAGGGCTGACTCGGGCTCGTTTTTCGGAACTCCGAACCCGAGTTGCCCCTGGCCCGAGTTACCCCGGATAATTCGGGCGTCCAGAGCCCCAAATCATCAGGGGTAATTCGGGTCAGGGCTAACTCGGGTTCGTTTCTCGGGAAGCCGAACCCGAGTTACCCCGGGCCCGAGTTACCCCGGATAATTCGGGCGCCCAAGTCTCCCAGGTTTGCAGAAGAAGAAACGGCCTAACTTATCGGAGGTCCGCGCAGAGTTCTCGGATCGGAGCTGGGCTTCCCTTGGCGGTTCCGCCCCCTGCGCGCTCCGCGCGCCAGAGAGGGGGGGCCTGCCCCGATCCAAAGAATTCGCGCGGACCTTTCAGAGGTCATGTCTATGCAGGTGCGTCATCAACGGCGAAAGCTGATACAGTCGGGGCCCTGAAGAAGGAACCCTTTTCGTTGAGGAGGGGCTCCGCGTTCCTTAAGTGTTTCACAGCTTGCCTCAGGCTTCCCTTATGTTTTCGACAGTAAATCGAAGGTTAACTTATGGAAAAAAGGGGCCTCGTTCCTTATTTAGGGTTCCTTAGATCAACGCCCCGACTGTATCCCAGTTGTTCTGAAAGCCGTCCGCGTGTTGTGCCATGCTGCCGTGTGCCAAGGTGTGCCGTGTGCCAAGGTGTGTGTGTGTGTGTGTGCGTGCGTGCGTGCGTGCGTGCGTGCGTGCGTGCGTGCGTGCGTGCGTGCGTGCGTGCGTGCGTGCGTGCGTGCGTGCGTGGCGGCGTGCGTGCGTGCGTGCGTGCGTGCGTGCGTGCCGTGTGGTGTGTGTTGTGTGTGTGTGTGTTGTGTGTGTGTGTGTGTGTGTGTGTGTGTGTGTGTGTGTGTGTGTGTGTGTGTGTGTGTGTGTGTGTGTGTGTGTGTGTGTGTGGTGTGTGTGTGTGTGTGTGTGTGTGTGTGGTGTGTGTGTGTGTGTGCGTCTCCGCGGGGAGTGCGCTGTCGAGCCCGCGTGCCTTGCCATGCTCGTTCTCCTCCTCCTCCTCCTCCTCTTCCTCCTCCTCCTCCTCCTCCTCCTCCTCCTCCTCCTCCTCCCCCTCCTCCCTTCTCCTCCTCCTCCTCCTCCTCCTCCTCCTCCTCCTCCTCCTCCTCCTCCTCCTCCTCCTTCCAGTCTGAGGCCCGATCCTGGGCCGAGGGTCGGCCAGACCCCCGAATCATCAGGGGTAACTCGGGTCAGGGCTAACTCGGTTTTGTTTTTCGGGATTCCGAGCCCGAGTTACCCCGGACCCGAGTTACCCCGGACAACTCGGGCGTCCAGAGCCCCAACATCATCAGGGGTAACTCGGGTCAGGGCAAACTCGGGTTTGTCTTTCGGGAATCCAAACCCGAGTTACCCCAGACCCGAGTTACCCTGGATAATTCGGGCGCCCAGAGCCCCAAAACCATCAGGGGTAACTCGGGTCAGGGCTAACTCGGGTTTGTTTCTCGGGAATCCAAGCCCGACTTTACCCCGGACCCGAGTTGCCCCGGATAACTCGGGCGCCCAGCTTGTTCTCCACGCCGAGCACGCGTGGCCGCCAGCGTGCCGTGCCGTGCCCGTATGCCGCGCACGTCTCCAAAACACACACGTAGCATTAAGTCGGGCGTGTCCCCCTACAGGGGGGTTTTCGACGAAAACTGAAAGAATATACCAAAACAAGTACCCCGAAAAGGTCAAAACATACTCAAAAAATAGTCCCCAGGCCATTTGGGGATTATTGTTTGAGTATGTTGGGGGTATTTTTCATCTTTCGTCGAATGTCCCCCTGTAGGGGGACAGGCCCGACATAAACGTAGCATCAATCATCACGTGGGTCCCCTGGAGCCCTCTTGGGGGGCCTCGCGGAGGTCTCTTAGGGCGTGTTGGTGGCCTCTCGGGTCGTCTTGCGCCGTATTGGGTATCTTTGATCGCTCTTGGGCCGACTCGGGGCCCTCTTGAAGCGTGTCGGGGGCCTTTTGGCTCCCTCTTGGTCCGTATTGGGGTCCTCTAGGCTCCGAACAAATAACATGGGAACGCGCCCCGGCACGAGGGGCGCCCAGGAAAAGTTAGCATGTGGGGTATGGGCTTTTGAATTTTCTACCCACGGGGATTGAGGACTCGAAGGATCTGATGACACTCCGACTCGTGTCCTGGATTGTCATTCTCATTGCACGTTCGGGGCTCAAGAGACGGGGGGTCAGTCAGAGCGCCGCATCTTGCAGGAACCTGCAGGGCCAGGGGCGCACTGACCCGGGTGTGGGCGCAGGATCCGGCAGTTTCTTACAGGATCTTGCAAAGTCTGACTGACCTGGTTCTGGACTGACCCGGGTCAGTAGATCCTCTATCGATACAGTGGAGACCCATGCCAAGAATCAGTCACGCGCAGAGGGGGAGGGGGAGGGGGGAGGGCTTCGTAGAAGCACCCCTGAATCCGCGCGGACCTCCGAGTTTGAATGTTTATGTCATTCTTCGTTCCCCAATTACTGTTGCAACAATTTCGGTGCAGTCCATGGCCCAGCCTCCACCCCCCTGTCCCCCTACAGGGGGATTTTCGATGAAAAATCAAACAGATTCAAAACATACCCCAAAAAGGTAATATAAAAAAGTCCCCATATTATTTTGGGACTAGTTTTTGATTATTTTTGGGTATTTGTTATTCTTCGTCGAAAATCCCCCCTGGCCCGTGCAGGTGCCTGGGGCCGTGGTGCCCCGCTCCTGAGCGCGCCCCAGAGGAGGGAGGAGGGGCAGGGAGGGCAGGCTCTGGGCCTCCCAGGAGGGGTCCGAGGAGGGCCCGCTGGGGCCCT